CCATGAAACAGCCCCTGACTCAGGTGCTCAGAGCCCCTCGACTGGTCCACTGGATGAGAGGGAGACAGACACAAAAAGGAAAGGGCAGCAGGAGTGGGGCTGGAGGGTCACTGTTGTACTCCCCAATTGCCAGAGACTTACAGAGGTTTGGGGCTGCACTGGGTCTCCTCTATTCCCCTCCTGTCAAGGACACCAAGCCTAAGAGGAGGTTGAGGCAGGAGTACATTTAACATCACCTGTACAGGAGCCATGGCAGCTTGAGCCAAGGAAAGACAATGGCAGCCTCAGAGCCAGCAAAAAGGGGACCTTTGGGATCCTAGGCTGGACCACTGGCCACCATCACCAAAGGAATGAATCCCCTCCTCTGAGTACTCTGGGAAACTTGGTGAAAGAACTCTGCCCATGCCCAGAACTCCTACCTGCTCCTTTTTAATAGAAAGCAGTGACCCCATCCTACACAAATTCAGTCCCAGGGCTGGGAAACCAATTGCTGTAGTTTAAAGAAAACAGGATGGATGGGGAGGACAGGGCATTTGTATTCAGAACAGTCACTGGCACCATCCCCCAACACAGACACTAGAGGAAAGAGGCAGAGTCAAAGTCAAGAGAATTTCAAAATCTTGCAGGGAGGGTGACAGGTTTTTAAACCACAAAAAGTTACCAAGAAGGAGGAAAACCCAGTCCCTAGACTGGGCTGATGGCATGGACACTGCGGTTATTCAACCATATCTTACTGGGACCTTCAGGGAATAGTTTAGAAGGCAAAACTTGTTCAGGTGAACCTATAACAGCACCTCATATGACATAAGTGGGAAGCATCCCCTGTATAATGCTATTTAAATTGTCACTTACAAGAGCCATGTCCCACTGCAAACAGATCTTTGTACTTCGGATTCCTGCAACAAGAAAAGAAAAGCAATGCTGGAGTGATTGGTCATATGTAACTCAACAGACCTACATGGAGCCTAAAGGATTAGGAAGTCTAAGGGTCAGATCTGGCAAATAGGTGTATGTGATCACAGATGGGCAATTTTTTTTGCAGGATCAAAATCAATGCAAGAAGATGATGGCAGCACCTGGAAGAAGTAAGGCAAGGGTAAGAGAAAGATGAGGTCAATGAGGTTTCATTCTCTAGGGCTGCCCACTTTGTGCACTGCAGTGTCATGGACAATTTACTTCTAAAAATACATCTTAGAGGAAGGTTCAGTGGCTGCTGCCTATATCCTAGGACCACCCCACTCATGGGAGAACTGGCAGCTACTCAGTCCATTCATGAGCAGTGTGACTTGCCTGCTGTAGGGTGGACTCAGCATCCCTATCCAGAAAGACAAATTCCTTTTTCAATACTGTTCCCAGCTTCATAGTTTCATAGTTTCTAGGGTTGGAAGGGACCTGAGTAGATCATCTAGTCCGACCCCCCGCCATGGCAGGAAAGAGTAGTGGGGTCAAACAACCCCAGCAAGGTGTGCATCTAACCTCCTCTTGAAAACCCCCAAGGTAGGAGCCTGCACCACTTCTCTTGGAAGTTGGTTCCAGATCCTAGC